TAGATTAAATTTCGAAATAAACGGAGTGGTTGCTGGAAATTTTAATTTTAATAATAATAAATAATCAATAGCATTTGTATAGCACATAGCCCCTCTCAACAGCAAACTATATATGCGCTTTACACTATATTATTACCACAGCAGACCCTATAACACTAAATAAAACAATAAAAAAAATATTCTCAGCTTCCCGGGAAGCATACAGTGAAAGCAGCCAATTAAATTCCCAAACACTAACAAACTGACAAGATCTTTCTCTGTTTAATATTACTTGGAAATTTTACAAGGGCTACTTTTTATGTACAAGTGTGTTTTTGTTCTTTTGCCTCACTTCGCTCAGACATGTTACATTGGACAGTCAGATGATGATTTATTGCCCCCCTTTTTTTCTTTTTTTTTTTTGGGGGGGGGGGGGGGTACCTAAACCCTCGAGTTGCAGTAAGGTAATCCTCCCCCCTAAAAACATTTAAAATATAAAACAAAACAAAACAAAACAAAACAAAAACACCCGATATCTTAGGGCAGAACGACGACCATAGCCACATGCTACCCGTTGGGTGGTTGGAGGGTGCTCTGGTGTGGTTTGCTCCTTCTTTCCTATCAGGCATCTAGCGTCCTTATCTCTCTTCCTTCTCTTTTGTTTTTGTTACTCTCTTGTAACACCTCTAATTTTCGGCACTTATACGACCTTATTGGGTTGCGAGTGCCGGTAAAACTCTAACTAAAACTAATGCTTCCTGGTCCTGTAAGACATAGCACCAGTCCCACTGTGACCTCATAGTGACCCAATATTTACACACTTGATCTAGTCAGTCCCGAAGGTGTGTGTGTGTGTGTGTGTGTGTGTGTGTGTGTGTGTGTGTGTGTGTGTGCGTGTGTGTGTGTGTGTGTTGTGTGTGTGTGTGTTGTATGTGTGCGCTACACATCAACGTGACAAAGGGAAGCGTGCAGTAACAATACGGAAATCTTTTAGTTGCATGTAACTTAAATAAAGACGCTGCAGTATTGTGCTGCGCGATTTGGAGGAAATGAAACTTGATCAAGGCTTCGAAGAGTGAGGTGCTAGCCAAATACCGGGTATGAACGTTTTGATTTATAGTATCTGTCTATCTATAACGAGCAATGAAAAGAATGGAGAAAGATGATCACCTTATGTCTGTAGCAGATCTGGCACTTCATAGTAGTTAGGTAGACAGTCTGACAGACAGACAGACAGATAGACAGATAGATAGATAAATAGATAGGTAGATAGATAGATAGATATATAGATAGATAGATAGATAGATAGATAGATAGATAGATAGATAGATAGATAGATAGATAGGTAGATAGTAGATAGTAGATAGTAGATAGATGGATAGATGGATAGATAGGTGACATCGTGGTGAAATCAGGCAAAAATAATTGAATTCTATTTGAGTTGAGCAAATTTCTATCGATTTTGTTTTGTTTTGGGCTCAATACCTATTTATATCCATCTAAAACACGTTCCTGCGAAGATGTTTTTTAAAATCGAAAAACACTCATCAAAGACACCAGAGAATATGGAGATTTGCAGTTTCCATGAACACTATACAACTTTTGAAGTCACCAAACTTTGGCGGCCATTTTCTGGCTTATTTTACCTCTGACATCAGGCGACTCTCACCTCCTTGAATTTCAAATGTATCCTGACTTCTATTATGGGTAAATGGGTTTTATTTCATCAAAAGCATGCCAAATCAACACGCTTTAAGATAATGCCAATAACTCCTTACACCCCAAAATTGACGAGATTCCGATCCACCGCACCGCAACACACACACACTCGCGCGCGCGCGCACACACAC